CAGATGATTGTGAGAAATATAAATCCTTCCATTCCCCACCATTCAATCAGAACTGAAGAAGCTTCTTGGTTGAGAAGTGAAACATCTTCAAGGAAACACAAAGAAAGTCCAGTTGCCTCTTGAAAAAACACTTTTGGGACAACCGTGATCTGGATGACTGGAAATCTCCTTAGACATAGAGGAGGAGAGCACTTAAATTTGCCTTGGTAATGTAGAATGAAACAAAAGACTTGTGAAGGATGATGTGCATGCAGGGGGAGGGGGCAGGAGGGGCTGCAGTGGAGCATCGATTCCCCAGGAAGGATGGAGCACATTTTGTGGGTGGGATAGGGGGGAGACAAGGCACAGCACAGTCCAAAGCTGGATCAGAGGGAGAATCGTAAAAGTTTAGTCCAAGGATAGGCAACCTTGGCTCTTTTATGACTCGTGGACTTCAACTCCCAGAATTCCTGAGCCAGCATGGGGGAACTATGACCCCTTTATGACTGGTGGACTTCAACTCCCAGAATTCCTGAGTCAGCATGGGGGAACTATGGCCCCCTCATGAGTCGTGGACTTCAACTCCCAGAATTCCTGAGCCAGCATGGGGAAACTATGGCCCCTTCATGTATTCCTGGACTTCAACTCCCAGAATTCCTCAGCCAGCATGGGGACACTATGGCCCCTTCATGACTCGTGGACTTCAACTCCCAGAATTCCTCAGCCAGCATGGCTCAGCTTGGAAACCTCTCCCTTTCCCCTCAGCATGGCTGGCTCAGGAATTCTGGGAGTTGAAGTCCATGAGTCATAAAAGAGCCAAGGTTGACTACCCCTGGTTTAGTCTCTCAGGATTCTGTCTATTGTGTGTAAACAAACAAAGAACTAGATTTTGACTAGATTGTTTCATTGTTCTTGGGCTGATCCTGTCAATACTTTAACATTGGATGTATTGAGGGATATTTGTGAACAATGGACCCAGACGTTAATTTTAATATTATCTTCATTATCAATAGATGGTGTTTGGAAAATGTTACTGGATAGTTTTACTGGATAGTATTTGAAAGAGGATTTAAAAATAGAAATTATGGGAAGGAGGTGCTACACTGGACGTACAAATGATGTCTTAACAAAAGAAAAGGGTGACCTGGATAAAATTTCTCATATTTGATTTACAAAAGAGATTTGTTGTAGCTTTGAAGAATTTCTAAGTCAGGACAAAGAAAAAATAAAAATAAACCAAACTCTAGGACATTATTTGA